CTAAGTAACGTTTCAGTATTCCGGCATTAGAGTATTTATTTAAAGCGCATTGGCGATTTCAAATTTAACTATAACTAGCTGTTACCCGCGACTTCGTCCGCGTGAAATTATTCATATTTTTGTTAAATATAAAATTTTTGACATGACAACGTGTTGATTAGCGAGGCGTATTTGAAAGCTAGTATGAAACGGAACGTTTATTGTCTACTCAAGATGGCGACAGCGGTTTGTCTGTCAGTGTCATTAAAATGAATTAATAAAACGAAATAATCTCCGTAATCCGAATTTTGCAGATATGAAGCGGCCGTCTTAAAACTCCGAGCCACCACGTCAATTTTTAAATTTAATTTATTTTATTCTAGCTAAAACAATATTTCTTACATTCCAGTTTATCTTCTGGTCTTCCAGCTTCCAAGAGTGAGAGGTAGCAGACGATGTCTTTCAGAGATACCCTGGCAGTGTGGACTTCCAGTGTCGATGATCGTCTCATTAGATGCCTGAAATCTAAAGCGTAATATGTCAAAATTAAAGCATTTATTTCAATTAAACCATAATTTGGTACTTTTGAAACGTCAACAAATACAAAATAAATAATGGTCTGTCAGTCAGTCCGTCAGTGAAGCTAGGTGAAGCTAGGTGCTCATTCCAAAATGAAGAAGAACGAGCAAGAAACTGTTCTACAATGATACATGATTTCAATACTGACGTATATATAAGTGTGGGAGAGCCATGCTTCGGCACGAATGGGCCGGCCCGACAGGAATGATACCACGGCCTCACAGAAAAACCGACGTGAAGCAACGCATGCGTTGTGTTTCGTCATGTGAGTGAGGTTACTGGAGGCCCAATTACCCTCCCCTCCCCCAATCTCCCCAATTTCTGAAACCCAACGATCCTCAAACTCCTAATCCCCCAAAAGGCTGGTAACGCACTTGTAACGCCTCTGGTGTTCCAGGTGTCCATGGGCGACGTCGATTGCTTACCATCAGGTGATCCGTCTGCTCGTTTACCGGCTTATGCCATAGAAAAAAAAATGTGAGAACAATGCAAAGACACGCTTGACGCACTATACAAATTACAAAACTTAAATACCTAAATAAGAATAAAACAATGTGGCAATTTTCCCCATCGCTTCATCCACTCCTAAATCATCTCGTAACTAAGTATTGCTTAGCGTGAAGAAGGCTTAAGTACCTGTATCAGTTTGATGACAATGAGAATGTTATTAATTGTCACCTATTTTAGCTTAGGTGTTTCTTTAAACTTAAGAGAGGTTGGAAATGGGTATGATGGCCTTCTTTATATGATAACCTCCTAAAACCGCTGCAACTCCTGTGCACCAGGATCTATAGCAGATACAACCATGAAAACACCAGAACACTGAAGTCCGACACGTCCCAAGGACATGAATTCGGTCATGTAGAAATGAAGATCTTAGAATCCGCAATGATTTTTTATCAGGAGTTCGAGAATTAAAAATAAAGAAGAAAAACCCCTCTGTGGTACGAAACTAGTAGAGCTTTTCTCAGTATATTCACGTGAGTAACCCGCGATTTTAATTAATAAAGTAAAAAAAACTAATATTTAGTTTCCATTTCTTTGGAGTTGGGGTGGCAAGCCATCACACGGGTAACCTGATGGTAAGCCATCGGCGCCGCCTCGACACCAACGGGTTGACTGGCACGTTACTACAGCCGGACAGAAAACTAGCTTGAAACAACCGAAACAACATCCCCAAAGGGACGGCCAATCAAGCCTTTACTTTTGAACTCCACATTCATAAATAGTTGTAGAAAAAAATAGATAATCTACAACATGTAACTTAAGTAACGCACATCCTGAAAACAGTTTATTCAGAATCGTTAACTGAATCAATTTATATTATTTTTAGTATAGGTCATTTTTTATCCCAAAAATAATTAGAACTACGAAAATTATTGTCATATTAACCCTGTATTGTTAATACAAATCGAAATGGACCGTAAGTGAAAGTAATAAGACTTTTAAAATCGCAGTTTTATTTCTATTCATACAAATTCTATCATTCAATACAAAATAAAGAAAAATAAACCTTATGACAAGACCAGTAAGGATGCATACACATGTTAAATTAAAAATTTAGTGTATGTATTATGATTATAACATAATATTCTAATTGGGGAGTTTGAGGGTGTGCGTTAATTACTTTACATGTTGTATACTAATATTAAAAAGCTGAAGAGTTTGTTTTTTTGTTTGTTTGTTTGAACGCGCTAATCTCCGAAACTACTGATTCGAATTGAATAATTCTTTTTGTGTTGGATAGTCCATTTATCAAGGAAGGTTATAGGCTATAAAACATCTCGCTACGACCAATAGGAGCCGAGCAGAGCGGGTGAAACCGCGCGCAAGTAGCTGGTATTGTATAGTTATCAAGATTAAAATTGATTGATAGAGATGACATTATGTATTAAACATCAGATCGATCTGTCACCAGGAAGAGGGTAAAATTCTAATTATTTTGACTCAAACAAAAAAAACGGGAAAGCTCAATAAAACCGTTAAATGACTACATATTAAAACCTATTTTCTTTACACGTATATATTTACCTTCGATCTTAGTAGACTGGTTGACTCTGAGAGAGTTGCTGCTTTTCCGACTGGAATTCCTGGACATCTGGCTATGGCTGGGGCTGGTCTCATTGCGTCTGTCCAGACAGAGCTCATGTGAAGAATACGACGGATGCGTGGTCACTGTAAACATCGGATGGACGCTTCCTGAAAGGTTGAGACAAGAATTAGTACTGTAAGTACTGTAACGAACACCCAGCGCCATCTAGTATAATTACTCCAAAACCACCACAACTACAAACAACTATAATGAAGATTGAGCACACATACAAACCATTCGCCTTTATAAGCAGAGATGTCTTCGAACAAATCATCATTCTACTAGCTAGAGTGTGTGGGCTAGTAAACTAGTAGAGCTTCTCTCAATATATTCACGTGAGTAACCCACGACTTTAAGTTAATTTAGTATGTCTCAAGATAGTTATTAATAAAAACAGATGCTCACCAGTTCGACTCCTGGACCCCTTGTCACTCCCATCCACTGAGTCTCCAGAACTCTTGCCCAACTGCTGTAACCGCTCCGCCAAACCATGGATCTTGGATGCTAAACTCAACTTGCCCTAGAAAACAAGAAAACATTATATATATACATAGATGTCGCGGAGAATCTAACGGGTAACCGGGGCTCCGGCTCGACGTGCAGGAGAAGGAACGGGGTGGTTTTTAGTAAGTAAGAGTCTGACACTCCCTCCCGCCTCACCCGGGCGGGAGCAGTCATTCGATAAGTATCCCCCTTTAAAAAGAAAAATATATATATAGATCTGTGTGCATACTGTACACTGTACTTGTACTGAGAAATAAATGACATTGATTCATTCATATTTTTATGAGTTAGGTCGACGAACGATACCAAATTGGGGATTTAACTCGTCGAATACCGGTTTTGTAGACACACTTATAGAACAATAGGTTGCGGTCACCGGTGACCGCTTGGTGTTTGACAGTTTAAAGATGGATTTAGAGATTGGAAAAAAAATAAGGATTAAGCCTCCTTTAGGATTTTGCAACTAACGTCTACTTGCGACTTCGTATAGTTTTTTGCTCATCAAATGACTTTAAATTAGTTTGGGGTCTATCCGATCATTCTGACTGTCAAAAAGTAAATTTTCTATTGGACAATCTGATGAGAGTCGAATGAGAGCAGTTATTAATTCTGGTTAGACAACATAACATAACATAACATAACATAACATAACATAACATAACATAACATATCATCACGCCTTTTATCCCCGAAGGGGTACGCAGAGTAAATGTAACACCCACTTTTCACTATTTATGTTATGAGTCCCATGTAATGGGGGGTGAGCCTATTGCCATATACCGAGCACAATTCCAGACTCCGTGCTACTACTGAGAATTTTTAAAAACCCAGTAATACTTTGCCCTACCTGGGAATCGAACCCGAAACCCCATGCCCGGCAGTCGCACTTCCAACCACTCGGCCAACGAGGCAGTCTGGTAAGACAGTAGTTCTATTACTGTCAAAATTATGATGAAACCAGAACCTGAAGATTGATCCAGGTATTTTGGATGAATAATTCCAGCCATTTTCATTTTAAAGTGTTATCTTACTTGATGGTCTGCATGAGCTGTGACGGCTGCGCAAGCGGCGGTGGAGCTCGCTGCTGCCATCTCGCGGAGCGCCGGCCGCCGGTCTCGGCGTACAAACGAAAGGAAGAGGTGCCTGAAATATATTATAGTTTAGTACATCAGAATCAGATAGAAAGTAGTCTATGTGATATGATCTACCCCTGTACCAAATATATTTTTTTTTTATGGCATAAGCCGTTAAACGAGCAGACGGATCGCCTGATGGTAAGTAATCGGCGTCGCCCATGGACACCTGGAACACCAGAAGCGTTACAAGTGCGTTACCGGCCTTTTGGGGATAAGGAGTTTGAGGATCGTTGGGGATTCAGGGATTGAGGAGAATGGGGAAAGGGAGGGTAATTGGGCCTCCGGTAACCTCACTCACACGACGAAACACAACGCAAGCGTTGCTTCACGTCGGTTTTCTATGAGGCCGTGGTATCACTCCGGTCGAGCCGGTCCATTCGTACCGAAGCATGGCTCTCCCATCTGAGTGATTGAGTAATAAACACACATACAAACTCACAAGCATTAATATAATTAAGATAGTTTACCTGGACAACTCATCAGGGGCTGAAATCTCGAGGAATGTATCCAGAAACCAGCGGAAACCTTCATAGTCGATATCCTGAAACAACAAACAATAATATGTTAGTAAAAGATTTTATAAAGAGAAGAATAATTAATATTTATACACCAGTCATGGTTAAGCATGTTGATACAGTCGCGGAGAACCTAACGGGTAACCGGGGCTCCGGCTCGACGTGCAGGAGAAGGAACGGGGTGGTTTTTAGTCAGTAAGAGTCTGACACTCCCTCCCGCCTCACCCGGGCGGGAGCAGTCATTCGATGATTTTCCCCGCTTAAAAATAAAAAAAAAGCATGTTGATACAAACGATACTGTACATCTATAGTAAACATTCATTTTTGCATGTTTTATTATAAACCTACACATGTTTTGGCAAATAAAACGATCTTTATCTTTATCAAGCGTATTGTTCAGCGCTCTGATTGGTGCGTGCATTGAAAAAGACCAATGTTTCGATCTCGTCGAACGTAAAACAAACCCGTATTCTCAAATCGCTAGCTGTCGCTAGCTGATTGGTGACGTCAATGTATTTGTCACCATCCCTATTCTCCCGGGACTATACACAGTACCGTCTTTACCACAAGGGCACTGCTGTGCCCAGGGCCCCATCCTCAGGAGGGGGGGGGGGGGCGAATGAAATGCACCCACGATACAGGATGAAAGCATAGTGTAGTGCATCATTGAGCCGCGGAGAACTCAACGGGTTGCCGGGGCCAGGAGTAAGAACGGGGTCGTTTTTAGTCAGTAAGAGTCTGAGACTTCCTCCCGCTTCACCCGGGCGGGAGATCATTCGATGATTTACCCCCCTACCCATTATTATAAAATCGTAAAAAAGTCAAAACTGAACATTAAATTTTATTTTAAAGAATACTTGGTGTGTGATCTACAAACGATGTCGAAGCCAAAAATATAGTTTATAGAATATTTGGCTGTTTTTCTGTATACATAAAACTCAAAATGTACTGCATGGATTTACTTCAAATATTGCATGATTATTACTAACAAGTTAGGTCAACATATAGGCTACATGTTATCATGCTATCACCTACGGGGAGAAGCTACAAATCTTTATTTTACGTACTATCGGAACTGACTATTCCACGCGAACGAAGCCGTGGGCGCAGCTAGTACTCAATATAAAAGCAGAATTAAGTGAAAAAATTCTTTTATATATAAATAGAAATGAGAAATTTCTCAGTATCTTCAATTATATTGTCCCCGATATAGGTGGGTCGTTGCTAGGCAACGCTCATTGCGTCTCTCAAGCCAGCCATCTTTGAATCCGACTACAAACAAAATAAGGATCAGAACATACCTACTTAGTTTATGTTGTGCGACATTATTTAGACACCACTGACAAACGGTAAAGGAAAACATCGAGACGAAACCTTAAGTTTGAAATTGGCAACCCGTAGTGAGCAAGTGTGGTGATTTATGCTCAAACCCTCTCCGCATGAGCAGAGCCCTTTGGGCAGTAGTGGCAACTTATACAGTAAATTACATAATTTTAAAAACCTCTCCCTTTAAAGAATCGGTTAATATACTAACCTTTATTCGTAAGTGTAACAAACGCTTTCGGAATAACTCTGACACGGTTAGTGCGATGGCTGGGTCCCGCTGTCACGCAACGTGTACTTCGATTCCCGCACGGAACAACTCTTTGTGTGATCCACAAATTGTTGTTCCGGGTCTGAGTGCCATGAGTATGTGAACTTGTATGTTTGTAAACGGTCATATGATGAGAGAAAACAAGGAAAAATGGTGCAAGATAGTAACTGATTGGTATCCAAGAGACGGTAAACGCAGCAGAGGAAAGCAGTTAAAAATATGGGAGGACGAACTAAGGCTAACAGCGGGACCCAACTGGAGAAGAGTGGCCCGCGACAGAATTCAATGGAGACAGCTAGAGGAGGCCTTTGCCAAAAGGCATACTGAATTAAGAGATATACTGTTACCTTTTGTAACAACTCGTAATGTAAAAATCCTTACTAATATTATAAATCGGAAAGTGAGTTTGTTTGTTTGTTTGTTTGTTCCGCTATCACGCCGTAACTACTAAACCGATTGCTTTGAATTTTTGCAGATGTAAAGTTAGAAGTCCAGATTAAATAATAGGGTACTTTTTATCCCGGAAAAATTTGATATTCCCGAGGGAAAACAAAAGTATTGGTATAGATGGCGCTGTCTGTATTGGTATATGTCACATTGGCTTTTTATCCTTTTGTGACGTGAGTGAAGCCGCGGGTAAAAGCTAGTTCAGAATAAAGGGCTTTATTATTATTATGTTTGTAAACGCACCCACGACATAGGAGAAAATACTAGAGTGGGGCCACGTTATAAAGAAATACTAAACTAAGACATTAATATACGACTTGAAATACTAAGCAAAGAAGAAATTCTTAAGATCGTATATTTCGTGTGGATGGACGTTAACTATCATCAAACGAGTTTTCTTAGCCTGGGTGATGCGTACGTGGGTGCGAACCCACGACACAGGAGAAAATCCAAGTGTGGGCAACGCTTTTTAAAAGAACAAAACATCACATCGCAATCGATTCACCCAATTGCGGGATGATCGCATCATTTTAATAAGCATAGGGCCTGATACGTGAGGCAGTTCTCCTTGAAACGGCACGTAACGTGAGGAGGTTTCTGTCTCTGGAGCCCTAACCACCGGTAGCTTGGACCATGCTCCCGCTACCGGGCGGCTCCTATTTTTGTCTTTAATTTTTTTTTTTGTAAGTAGTATTTAAAAATGGAAGAATTTTAAATAGATATATGGGATTAAGACTTCGACTGCCCATAAAGAATAATAAAAAAGCTGTTGAAGGTAAATCCTCCGCTAACGCCGGTCACCGGTGACCCCCATGGCGTTTAACATGTTAATAATAATACGTTTATATAATAACTATCGTGAGACATACTAAATTAACTAAAATCGCGGGGTTTTTTATGGCATAACCCAGTAAACGAGCAGATTGATCACCTGATGGTAATCAATCGGCGTCGCCAATGGACACCTGGAACACCAGACGCGTTACAATGCGTTACCGGCTTTTTGGGGATTAAGAGTTTGAGAATAGTTGGAGATTCAGGGATTGGGGAGACTGGTGAGTTGGACCTCTGATAACCTCACCCACATGACGAAACACAACGCAAGCGTTGCTTCACGTCGGTTTTCTGTGAGGCCGTGGTACTCCAGTCGAGCCGGCCCATTCGTGCCGAAGCATGGCTCTCCCACACTTAAAATAACGTTTTTAAAGTCCTTTAATAAGAGGTCCCTATAGAACCGGTAAGGAAACTAATACCTCTGTTGGTAATACCAAGGGATGAGGGTTAAAAGTATAGAAATATTTGCTTACAAATATCTTTACAAATATTCGAGCAAACATTTCCAAAGGTAAATGTTTGCGCAGGTATCGGCTTTTGTATAATATCATATTTTCGTTGTTATTGTTAGCAACAGGTTTTGAAAGGGATATTTCGTGAGTTTGCCTTGTTATGTAAATTATGTACCGTTTGTAAGCTTGTATGATATTTGAGACGATGTTTTGAGACTCAGTTTATGTCATGTGGTCGCAAAAACGAAAACACTTTCGTCAACACCCTTCCATTTATTTGTCATAAGAACAGACTAAAAGAAAAAACTACACAACGGACTTCAGATAAACCTATTTAAAAAAAAATTGCGTCTAATCTTTTGGAGGTTGAGAGAATAGACCTTCGGTGATCTCAGTCACACGGCAAAATAGTACGAGAGATGACGACCAAAACCATGTCTCATAGCAATACGGCAAAAACCCTATAAAATCGGTAGATTGTATGATTCTGAACCCGACTAGGTGTGTAGTAACGGTCGAAAGTGTAGCAACTCCGTGGGAGGCCATTTCTGCTGTGTCAAAAATATCTGAGTATCGAAAAGTTGTCTGATAGAGAAGGTGCTACACTTATTTTGTCTGATATACATTTTTTGCACATGTGGACAACTTATTTTATCATGTCCAACAATTTTCAGACATATTGCCATGATACCGATCGATAAAATTTGTTAACATTTTCAAAACGATCTCAAATTTAATGCGTTCACATTTCCGTCTGAAAATTGTTTTGTTCGCATCAAATAACCAAAATTTACTAATAACAAAGGTTTTCAGACGTATTGCTATGAGACATTTTTTTTGTCTGGTGTTTTTGTGGTCAGATCAAACGCTACGCGAAAAATGTCTGATATTGGTATTTTCGAGTTCAAGATAATCGTATCTATCGATTTGAGGCGATTTTGGCCGTATTGCTATGAGACAAAAATTTTGGTCGTCATCTCTCTAACTGCAATTATCGCAACGTTACTCACGTCATGGTACATCATTCTGGTCGAGCCGGCCCATGCGTGACGAAGCCTGGCTGCAATAACCGAACGAGCACCCCCTTACAAAATAACTTGTAATCATATTGGCACCCGTTTTCTCAATAGAACGTTCAACAGGCGCAAATATTAAATAAACTCAATATCATATTGAATCATATCTTTCATTCTGCTAAAGAATAAGTCGATTATGTTCCCCTTTTCCTAGCATTTATTTTTTTATAGCATGTATAGAGAAGCATACGAGCATTCGGATCACCTGATGGTAAGCAATTCCTCCAGATGACAGATGAGGGAACAAATCAAAATAAATTACGATAAATCGGCAAACACCCTTAAGCGACTATCTCAAGGGGATAGGGCAACTTTAGTGTGTAATGGCGCCAGGAAACCGGTGACCGTAGTGGCACAAGCAGCTCAACCGCGCTCGTACATTGTAGAAGACGAACGTGGTGGACGGTATCGGCGAACTCGAAGTCAGTTGATAACGCGTACGGCCTCGTCAGCAGAAATAATTAGAGAAACTGTGAGACAACCATCTGATAATGAATTTAGTTGCAAGTTACCAAGTGTGATCTCGATGGCAGGGTATCGTAGGCGTAGACGAAAGCCAGAATCCACAGGGTCGCAAAACACCGTGGTTCCTACTCGGGCGCAGGCAAGCCCAGCGAACAGCG